GGCCGGGGGAGGGGAAGGCCGCAGCCCGCCTGGCGCTCGGGCCAGCGCCCTCCAGTTATCAGTGCGCCTGGCGGAGCCGCCGCGTCTGAGCCGCTGGCCGGGCCTCCAGGGGAGCCCTCCGGCCCCGGCCCCGACCTGCCTCACGTCGAAGCCAGACTGGCCGAGGTGGTGAAAGCCAGGCACCAAGGAAGTTCCAGACCCGGCGGGAGGGCAGGCGGGCGGGCTGGGCCCAGCACTGCGTCCTGCCCACCCCCTGCGGACCTAGGCCAAGAGCCCAGGACCTTGCTGCCGCAGCTGGGCCTGGTGGGTCACCCTGGATATGCCCTAGAGGAAAGGCCACCCAGCACACGAGCTTCTCAGTAAGTGATGCTGTTCACTGGAGCGTCCTATCTCCAGTCACAGCTACTCCCGCACTCCACTGCACTCCAGGCGGTGTGGTCCAAGGAAGGTGGGGCCCCAGACTATGGCTCTTAGGAGGGTTCCCAGGCCTTCGGTGAGAGGCAACATCGTGTCTCCGCACACTGGGCTGGCTATGCCCCTGAGCCTCCTTTAAACCAAAGGCTTCTCCTGCCAGCAGCATGCATCATGTGTCAACTAAGACAAAAGCCCAGGTGGGAGGATGCAGACACTTATCCATGTGTCAGCTCCTCAAAAACACACACTCCACCCCCTCAAGTGTTTGACTGTGAAAATAACTTCAAAACAGTGTGGGAATGGAAAGACTAAATACCATTTCTGAGAACCTACTACATGCCATGCATCTGTCTTAACCAAACTATTGCCATATTATCTAAGTACGTGATTCCCATTATACAGATGAGGCAAATGAGGCTTCTCAAACACTGTAAGCTGATCAAGAATCAGGAAGATAGAAGATGACAGAGAAAAGATTCACAGTTGGGTCTGCCTGACACTAGTGTTTCCAAACTGAGATCAGGAAGACTATTAGAAGCTGGGGAATTTTATACCCAAACTCATGATTCAATCAACAGAATGGAAATACTTTTCAGAGATAACTGTCTGACGGCTACAGAAACTGCTGCAGCATCACTGAGTCAGACACTTCTCTACACACTCCTGGAGCTGGGAAAATAGAAGAGAATGAATGTGACAGTCAGCTGATAATGCCCATAACTTGAATGTCAGTGTTTCACTACAGAAATGACTTTTCACCACCATAAGCAAAAGTAACTAAAAACAAATGACAATAAACAAAAACTATACGCCCATGAAAGTAATGTAAATCATCCTGTGGAGTTTCTTAACTGATATTTCCTGTCTGGTTGACTCAATGAAGCAAAGAGCAGAAGCAACAGTATTTACTATCCCAACTCCTAAGCTTGTACCAAAGATTCTATCTGCTTCTAACGTGGACACATGTAGCAGCACGTCAACTTCACAGCAGTAATAAAATGAAGAGGGATGAACTGCCACAGACAAGAAACACACATCTAACAATATCTGTAATGAGTAAGAATAAAACTACACTGTCTTTTCTCTAAAGCCTTCTTTAGCTTACTAAGTTTCATTTTTCTCTACAACATGTTGAAGTAAACTTAATAACGGCATTTTGCAGAATATTGAAAAACAGAGTTTTCCCCAATGTCTAAGGAAGTTTGTGAAGTCCACCGCAGTCAGCGCAGCCCAGCCATGTTACTTAGGCCGCCCAATATGAATCTTAGTTTGTGAACCCCTTCAAGCTATATCACAATATTCTGTCAGAAAAGCTGACTGATTGTCATCAAAATACATGCTATATCAACACTTTTAATATACAAAATCGTCTCAGCTGAAAACATTTGACTTCTAACCCAGAGGAGCTTGACTGTGTTTAAAAGAATAACTTATTCCCCAGTTGACAAATATGTGACGTGCTGACATTCTAGTAGAAAAGTATTTCTAGTCAGTGGGTCATAAACACCTATATTAGATTTGACAGTGAAGCATTCTACTTATAGATACACATGTACGACCTATCCTATATTTTACATATATCAGCATATTTTACACACATACACAGCCTTCCAGGAAAGCTATACGGAAATCCATTTGCATTTATAAGTGGGAGGCAAATAAATGTTTCCACTCTCTCTTAAAATTAGAGAAAAAGCTTTTGTACACATTTATAATTATTATTCATAAAGAGTTTTCTCTACTCATGAGAGGTATTTTGACACCCTCCGAGCAAGATGCACTGAATACTGCATTAGCAGCAGGAGTGTAGGAACCCTGGTCCCTCTTCTGTCCTGATGAGATCTGTCTGCATCCTTGGGGAAGGCAGGGATCACCCTGGGCTACAGACCTGCTCACCTGAAAGCGTGAACATCACCCATCCTTTCCTGTGGCTGGCTTCACAAGAGCATAGACACTTTCTATTATCGTAAGTGAACCTACTTTAAGGGCAAGGGGGTAATCGGGGTATTTTTTTTCTTTCTCTTGCTAGGAAAGGTGAACTGTAAAACACTTCAGAGCCTCTAGTGTCTGCAGAAGTGGACGGGCGCACTGGGGCAGGCTCAGTCCCTGTGTTGGAAACTGCAGGCCTCTACTCCCCAAGGCCTGACACCATCCTCACCTCCTGCCCTTGTACAGAGAAGTGAGGCGCAGCTGGAGAGCTGACTCCCACCCTCCTGGGCAGCAGGACCCATCGGGCTATGCATCCTCCCAACCCTAAGGTCACTGCACTGAAGCATGGGTCTTGCCCTGTGGCTGCTGCACATCTCAGCCAGGAGATGGCCTAGTGCCGCCTGCTGGTGGCCAGCGCCCTGCAGCCAGGCCAAGAGGGGTGAAAGGTGGACCAGGCAGCGACAGCAGGCCAGCGCCTTGCTGGGACCGGTCCCCAGGCTCCCTCAGGGCTTCCCTCCACAAGGCTTCCCTGGAGGAGGGATGGACGGGTGGAAGTAGCCTCGGGGTGCCCAGGCCCCTGCACCACCACCCACCCAGCCCTAGATCCACAGAATAGGGGTCCTGACGTCCCCAAGCAGCTCCAGAGGCCAATAGAGGCCTTGGAGAGGGCTCTGGGCTGGGGCATCCCACTGGAGGGCCTCGCTGCCTGGTCACCTCTGGCCGCCTGCTGGCCGGGCTCCGGACTGGTGGGAGAGACAAAGGGGAGGGAAGACGGAGAGGGAGAACCGTGGCTTTGTCTCCCGATGACTATATTAATAAATTAGGGGAACGCCAGCGTGAGAGGGCAGAGCACTGCAGAGATAAAGCTGCGGCTGGCCCTGCCCTGCGAGGCTGCGTGGACAATGCGAGATGATGAATAGGAGCCAGAGAGGAGATCGAAGCGGGCCTGGGCTGGCTCCACTCTTTCCTACAAAACTGTAGGGCAATTAATTGTGGCTTGTCCCCTCATCCTTCATCTCCTAGTGGCACATATCGATGGAGATTACTGCTGATGGACCATTTTATCACCTTAAATAAACAGTCGCCACCTCTTCTAACCTCAATCTAATATATGGCTCTATGTTCAGTTTCAGGGCGCTAGATAATGGATGATGTAAAACAGCTAAATCATGTGTGTTCTGGGAGGGGGCGAGCCTGTTCACAAAAAGAGTGGGGGGCAGCACCGAAGCCCATGCTGCGACTCGAGCCTCCCTCCCACAGGGACTGGAGTCAGAAACCCAAGTCCCTGCTGCGTTTTGACAACACGGACGGACCTGGGGCAGGACGGGTGCAAGAGGATGCCCTCGCTGGCACAGGAGGAGGTGGCCCTGGGGGTGGCCTTGGGCCTGAAGCTCCCCAACCAGCACCAGGGTTTTCCAACTGGGTGGGAAGAGATCAGGGGCGAGCAGGGGAAAAAAGACAGAAAAACTCACCCTCCCTCCCTCTTTCCCAGATCTCAGAACTGGGCTCCAAGCACTGGACAAACCAGTGTTGGTCCTGGATTTCCTTCTCTCCAGCCCTTCTCCCCGAACGCTTGGCCAGTGTGGTGCTGCCAACTGCAGACCCTCCAGGCCGCTCCTACAGCCCAGCACACACAGCTCTATCCCCTGTGGGAAGCCTCCCGTAAATCAGGAGGGACAGTAACTGCCTCTCCCCAGCTGCAGAAGTTGCCGTACTCACAGCGCCCTAAGGGTTATTATTGCTGTCTCCCCTTCAGGTGGGAGGAACTTCTTCACAAAATGGTGTGAAAACTAATTGGCTCTGTGGAGAGATGACCCCATCCTCCCTGCACACATACAAACACCAGGCGCTCCCCAGTACCGCGACCACCTCCCGCTACAAGTCTCTACTAGAGGACGCAACAGCTCCCAGAACCTGAGTCCAAACCACTGTGATGGTGCCTGGTAGAATCAATGCACTGGGCAACCCAGCAGCGAATGAGGGCAGCAATATAAGAAAGAGCCCCAGCCCCCACGTGCATGGAATACGGGAGCCGCACTGGACTTCAGAGAGCAGCGGCTGAGCACCGGAGGCTTCCGTGGAAAGGGTACTTCCGCCACAGCGTAAACAGACGCATGGAGGAGCTCCTGTGGGCTGACTTGCAGTCTGCACTGTCTTTAAACCTGTGTGTGTGTGTGTGTGTGTCTGTGTGTGTGTGTAAGTATGTAAGGACTATAAGCACCTTCTCTGTGGCATTTGCCATAAATGACAATAAAACTTCAGGGTGAAATAAGTGTTACTGAGTTCTTTTCTTACAGAGCAATGATACTGTATTGCTGATCCCAGGCAAAAAGTTACACTTCTAAAGAGAAAGAAGATGTCAACAGGCCCCTTTTTCCCCCTATTAAGAAAAAATGACTGTGCAGCTTTTAAATACAAGGTGACAAAATGAAGCAATGCTGAATGGTCATTTCACAGAATTCTGTTAGCAAGAAAGTGCAAAAAACTAAAAGGAAAACTCTGGAAGTGTACACATGCTGAATTCACAGAGACTCGCCAGCCTCACACACACCAGCCCACAAACACCACCAGGACAGAGGACGCTTGCTCTTGTTCACCCTTTGGAGAGATCCGCATACCAGCTTCCTAAGCCAAGAAAGATTGTTTCTCATTTTCTCCAATAAGACTGATTTCTTTTAAGCCCCTAGTTAGAGTGAACTCATTGCCTTTCGTTTTTGTAAAATACACCCCAGGAGTGTATTTCAAGAGGCATGCCTAAACCTGCCTGCCCAGAGAAGTTCTTGGAGAAGGGAGGCCTGGCCCACCATCCTTATTGGGAGCTACCTCGGTTTTCTGTTTTCCTTCTCAATGAGCATTCAATTAGTGAGCAGCAGTGGAATAGCTCTAATAAAAAATCTAACTTTCTTTCTTGTCTATACTTTCTCCCACACTTTGAACACTGAAGCAGTCCAGCTGACTCAGAGGGAGTTATCAGAAGATTAACACAATAGGAATATTTTAAATAAAATCATAATTCATCTCCTCTAACAGGAAAAGATACCCAGACAATAAACTGATTCTATATTCATATATTAATTAGTAATTTATCCTAGTCCTTTCTCTGGTCCGTCTGTTTCCTCCGGTAAAAATGTATTAAGTCCCAAAACTGCAGTGTAAACAACATAAGGAGTTCAACACACAGCCAGGACTACGGAGCGTGCTGATGGTGTCTTTTCCAGCACAGATTTAATTCAGAAAAAAATCCTGCAAACTTGGTGAGACGCTCCCAATTTGCAAGGATGCTATTTCACTTAGCAGTAAGAAATGCCTTTTCTAAAGCATTTCTTATTTCCACTCAGGACTGCTTTAAAAACAACACATTCAAGAAATTAGGAAAATAAATATCTGAAATTCACTAAGACAATATAATTTTAGAAAATGTCTTGAAACTGAAATACAACAGTCCTCAACAGTACAAAAAATTAGAAAAGCCCATTTTGAAACCAGTATTTTACTCTCAGGATCTGAAAAGGAGAAAAATAAATGTAACTGTTTTTTTTGTTGGTAATTATTATTTTCATGACAATAATTACCTCTAACTATTATGAAAAGATTAATACAAGCCCGGTGTCATTTCACCAAAGCAACAACTTTGGGACTTACGTTATTTTGCTCTTACAAGAGATTAAGAAGTTCATGGTGCAACTTATTCAAAATACAATAAAAATAAATATGTATGATCACCTTTTCTCACAAAGACACCAGTTGAAGGCGTGACATGAAAAAACAGCTGAATGAATGCTGATTTTTCAAAAGCCTGTATTGCTTTCCCCTGACATTCTTAATCTGCTTTAATGTTATCGAAAAAGGCCTCTAAAAGTGTACTTAACACTTAACCCCCCAAACCTTAGTTGTAAACATATCATAACTTCTGAAATTGCCAAGCAAAAGGAAATATAAAACAATACACGTTGTCGATTTTCATTTAGAGTTTTGCTTCAAAACCTCAAAATAGAACTGTAGAGTACTGTGGATAACGTCTGAACTTGGGAGTGTGGAAATCAAGCTAGAGGAGTCCCAATGTTTATGTAGGTCTTTATCGTTTAGTTGGGGAAGAGGAGAGTACGCTTGCTTTTCTAAGTTTCTATCACCCTTAACTTTAAAAACTAAACCAGCACGGACTGCAAGCGTTATGACTGATCAAGGGTGCGCGGAGAACCCGGGATTCGCAAGGCACGATCCTGACCAGAAGTCGCGAGTTTTCTTTTCTCCAAGTAGCGGGCACTTTTCTTCTCTACCTTTTCTAAATAAAACTGCAGACCGAGACTAACGCCTGTCCGCAGGGAGAGAGCCCCGCTGTCGCCCAGAACTTGTACTCGGGCGCGGCCCGGAGCCCCGGGCGGCCCCGACGTCCCCAGGCTGAGCGCGCGGCCGCGGTCCCTGTGGAGCAGAGACGGGGTCGGCCGATCCAGACCCCGGGCGCCCCGCTGCCCATTCGGCCAGGACGAGCGGCCGCCCAGGCTTCCCGGC